GGGGGGGGGCGGGCTCCATCCTGTCACTCGAGGGACCGGGTGCTGGGGCTGCTGTAGATGGTGGGCAGACCCTGGGCCCTGTGGCCATCCCAGGCCTGGCTGCGGGGAGCACTCGGCAGGACCCCACAGCCCCCCAGAGCCAGGGCCACACAGAAGACCCTGCAGAGCACAGCTGCCATGTTCCCAGCTCTTGAGGGGTCACAAGCCTCTTCATGAGCCCCCAGAAAATGTCCCTACATGCACACAAACCCCAGCTTTTCGTCTGGGGGCTGTGCCCCCCACCCCCGGAAAGCCCGTCCCAGAGCTGGTTACAGACCAAGTGCAGCTGCCGGGCAGGGGCCGTGGAAACCGAAGCATGGACGTCACCCAGCAGGGCACAGACCCGTCCCAGCTGGGACCAGATCACGGGGAAGGAAAGCCTGAGGGGGGGTTTTCAAGTTGTCTTATCCTTTACTGATTTCTTCAATTCACCAAATTTTCTAACAGTTTTCTAGCAGTTTCTCCCTTTAATGAATTCTATCTGTTCCCTGATGGAACAACCTGGGTACAAGTGAGCTGACATCCACCCCTGAGGTGCCAGTCCCGAGTGGGGAGTGGGGTGCCAGTGGGGGTCCGCGCCTACCCAATCCCCGCAGAGATGAGACAGCAGGAGCCGGGGATGCCCCTCCTCCCAGAACCGTGGCTTCACACGAACAATGCTTCCAATTTACCTGCAAACGTTCAGCAACAAAGACTACTGACCTGCACCCCACGGCACCCCCCCTAGGAAGACAGATAACGGCACACGCACTCCCCCCAGCCCTGCTCCCCCAGGCCTGTCGTGATGACCAGGGCAAGAGGAGAAGGCACAGAGGACGGGCAGAGCCCCGGGAGGGCAGCCTGCCCACCAGTGCCCCTCACCTCTCACGTGTGTCGAAGCTCCTTGGAGACGCTGTCTCTGACGCTCCCGACATCCTTGCAGGGAGCAGCCAGGAGCCCACTTTACAGATGAGGCCGCAGAGGCCGAGAGGCCAAGGAACCCAGAAGAGCCGGGAAGTGGAGCAGGGCTCCGGGCTCCCACCTGGCACAGGGAGCTCCAGGGCGAGAACCACAGACCAGGAGAGAGGACGGTGCCGGCACAATGCTGACCACACGCCCTCCTCCCGGCCCGGGGACACACTGTCCTGGAGGCAGAGGTCAGTGCTGGGCACACAGACAGACGGGGCGACGGCTGCCGCTCTTCTTGAGCCCGTCCTACAGGTGTCTGGGCGGCGGGGACGGGGCTGAAACACAGGACTGCCTTCGCCCACGGAACGGCCCTCTGTCACATCCCCAGGACACTTGGCGTCGGTCACCTTGGAGGGAGGCTGCAGAGGCCGCCACTTGCCTATTTTCTGCTTCCCTTTGTTATAGGCCCCTGAAGTCTGCCTACAATGAAGACCACCTTCCCATGCCCTGTGCAGATCAGGGTCACATGGCAGAGTCCTGGCCACACTGACGCCAGAGAAGTGACTCTGGGTATGTGTGTGTGTGGGGGGGGGCAGTCCAGGGGTCCACTCGGCTCCACAGGGCAGTCTCTGTGCCTGTCCTCCCAGCAGACCCTGCTCCCTGCGGGCCCT